CACCGTCAGCTGCCATGAGTGGTCTTGGAATGCGTAGCGTCTGCAGATCCCGCGCATCAGCAATCCACTCCTTCACCAGCTTGTCCACAGAGGGCTCCAGTGGGTCGTCCCAGGTCGAGCCTCGCAGCCACAGTTCCTGGATGAGCATCTTGCCTCGAATGATGTACGGCGCCAGCAGACCCAGCGGGTCAAAGACGGATGCTACCCGTTGTAGCACTCTCCGCTTGCTGAACTCCTGGCCGGAATCCGGTGGGATGGCAAAACTGAAAGCGTCGCTAGCAGCGGACCACGAGATGCCTAGCGTCTTCACTCTTGGCAGCTCCCCTGGTGACAGGTCGATGGAGCGTCCATGTTCTGACTCAGGTATCACTGCCAGAAGCTCGGTCGAGTTTGAGAGCCACTTCGTCGGGTGCATGCCGGCCGACTCCCACACCTTCACAAGAGACTTGTAGAGTGCGATGCCATCAGCGACGGTTGGCACGGAATCAAGCGTGTCGTCCATGTATGTGGACTTGTTGACTGCTTCAGCCGCACGTTCATCCGTACTGGTGAGCACCCTCGCATGCTCCTGGGAGACGAACTGAGCGAGGAATGGTGATGAGGCGAGTCCGAATACCACACGCTGGAACTCATACACTGCAGGCTGCGCATCGGAATCACAGTTGCGCCATAGGAATCGTTGGTATGGCCGGTCGGATTTGTGCACACCAATCTGCAGGTACATCTGCTTGATGTCACAGGCAATAGCAACAGGATGCTTGCGGAACCGCAGGAGCACGTCGCAGATGTCCCGTTGCAGCTTCGGCCCCTTGTTGAGGAAGTCGTTCACTCCGACGCCTTGGAACTGCGCCGACCCATCAAACACAATCCTCACTTTCGTTGTCTGCTTGTCCAGACGGACCACCGGAAAGTGAGGCAGGTACCAGATGCTGTGTGGTCGTGGTTCCTCCTTCGGCACACGGCGGATATAGCCCTTTGCCAAGTACTCTTGGATGATGGCGCTGTACTTGGTACCCAGACCGTCCGTTAGGAGCAGCTTCCGCTCGGTGCCAATCAGTCGTTTGCGTGCCATGGCGAAGTTGTCGGGCAGGACCGGTGGTGTTGTCTTCCACGGAAGGCCCACATGATATCGACCGTCGCTGAACGCCAGGGATTCCCGTGTCTTTGTGAGCAGTTTCTCCTCCGCCGGTGACAAGTGTGGCAAGTCGGGTACGGCTAGCTCCTCGACGTCCCAGAAGCGACGCAGTAGCTGACTGATCTCATTGCCGCCGAGCTGCAGCTGCGCATGGTACGCATGCCCCATACGCGAACTGCCTGGGCTCGCCCGTACCGGCCCCACACAGGTCCATCCTAGCGGGGTGAGCCGTGCGACTGGTTCACCCGGCTTACCAGTCACCTCGTGCAAGGACTGGTGCGCTGCGACACAGTCCAGGCCGAGCAGAACGTCGACTCGATCAGGCTTGGCGGTGGGAGGGAAACGTATCCCTTTGAGATGTGGCCATGTCGATGCGCCGCGGTGCCAGTTGACTGGCTTCAGGCGTCCTGTTGGGTGCCGCACTGTCCAAGCATGGAGGTCTGTGCTGAACATGCCGTTGACACTTGCTACGCTGCAAGACACATGCACCGACTGAAATGTACTCGGTGTTCCGTCCAACGTGTTGACCGTGATGCTCTGCAACTCCCCGTGCAGACCAAGTTCGTGTGCTACGCCCTCACTGATGTAGCTCATGGTGCTGCCATCGTCCAACAGTGCATTGACGTGAATGCTTGTGTCGCCGTGCTTGATGGTGACCGGTATCGTCCTCAGGCTGATGGTCACGTGGGTGCTCTGGGAGGCGTAGCACTCCTCTTCCGTGGACGGAGAACCCTCCGTGACGACGGAGCAGAATGTCTGCTGCTCTGTTTGGCTGGACGACTGTTGGGTGCTAGCTGTGTTTGGCATAGCGCATCCTGCCCGACGCCCTGAGACAGAGTTCGCTGCTGGTGCCTGTGTGGACGGGCGTGTCACGCTGCTAAACACAGGGCCTCTGCTCTGTGTGGCGTGCAGAAAGCGATGATGGAGCTTCGTGCACCCGTCCAAACCACATGGCCGACTCCGCGTGCAGTCGCATCCATTGTGGCCGACATCCAGGCAGCGGAAACACACACCTGAATCCTTGGCAATGCGCCATCGCTTGTTCACTGTCGCAGCTTTGAAGGATAGGCACTGCCACAGCTTGTGTTCACCTTGGCACACGATGCACTTTTGTGATTTGGCTGCCGGCTGGCTGCTGGTCACGAACGTGCTTGGTCGAGGCGACCGGTGGACCTTTGTTGACTGTGACGGCTCTGCCTTACTCACGGGAATCAAGCCAGCTTTCGTCTCCGCAGCGGAGACCATGAACTCTGCTTCCTGGGTACAGTACTCAAGCAGCTCTTCTACCGACTCAGCCTTAGCTTGTTCATGCCGCCACCGGTGGTAGCGGGTGATCAGCTGCTCATCCAGCTTCTTGAGAAGAGTCAGGTAGAAGGTTCCGGCCGCCAGCTCAGTAGCTCGGCCCGAGTCCTTCAAGTTAATGACAGCGACTGCCAGCAGTTCCGAGAACCGCTCCAGGTCTCTCGGGTGCTCCTTCCGCACGGGTTTGAGGGCCTCAATTTCTTCCAGATGGATGGCAACTCGGCGCCTCTCTCCGCCATATTTTCGGTGCAATAGGGCCTTGGCTGCATCATACGCAACGATGGTGTACCCGAATCGGTCGATGGCTTTTAACGGCTCACCCTGGACATACTGTCTTAGTCGAAGCATCTTGCATTCCGCGGTTAGCGGTGCCTTGTCCACACAGGTGGAAAACGCTGCCCACCAGGACTCGAAGCGCCGTTTATCGCCATCGAATGTGGGTATTGTGATTTTCTTCATACTCGCCCATGGCCCGATGTCGGCTGCTAGTGGTCGTTCACCCGTCAGTGGAGGCTGATACATATGGCTGCTCGAGGACCCAGTCGGTTGGGGAGCCATGGATGTGTTGGGGACTGTCACAGCGGGGACGACCGTTGATGCACTTCCAGCTGCACCTCCAGCTGCAGGGACCGTTCTAGGGGGTAATAACACACTCACTGCTGGTCTCAATCTGGACTGAGTGCTGGCAGTGGACTGGTGGCTCTGACTAAACTGAACAGACTTCTTGGTCAGCTGGGCCGTTCCCAGTGTGGTGTTGCTGACGCTGCTCCTCTTGGTGGGCTGACTGACTGCGCTTGGCATAGTACTACTGGCAGTACCATCATTAGCACTGGCCACTGACACACTGCTACCACTGGAACCGGTCACTGGCGCTGATGCACTGCCATTGCTGGTCTGATCAGCACTAGAGGTACTGGCAGTAGATGGTGTTGGAACCCGGAGTGGACTTGTGACACCTTGGCTCTCATGAAAGGCCAAGGCACTTAGGCTACTAGGAGAAGTTTTCATGCCAGATTCCACCAGCCCAGATCCAGCAGACCCAGAGTACAGCATTGACCTGGCCCCCAACTGGCCAAAGTCAGACCGCTCCGCACCCACCTCCGTCAAGTGATCTGGCGTCATCATTGGAGCTGAGTACCTCGCCGTCGAGTACTGGCTGTATCCCAAGCCATGACCAGCTCCAAACCGCCCACCAACACTAGCGCTGTACGTGGCTTCTTCCAGTGCTCTGTTCACAGCTGCGCTGTACTTCTCCTCAAGCTCTTCCAGCTCCGCAACCAGCTTCCTCCGTTTCGACAAGTCTCCGTCTCCAGAGCGCAGTCCCAGGAGATCGCCCACGACGCCTGCTGCACCAGAGTACGCGTGTTCCAGATATCCAAGGTCGTCATCACCAATCCCCTCTCCGTTCACTATCCGAGTCAGCAAACGTCTTCGAATGTTGGTGAAATTGGCCTTGGCATTGATCTTCATCGTTCTCAGGCATTCTTCGCTGAACGCCGGTTCTTCATCATCATATTCTTGTTCTTCGTCATCAATATCGGAAACTCCAAAATCCTTCACCGTGCCCTCTGACTGCTGAATGCTGCTTGAACCGCCACTACGGGGGACCTGCTGTTCGTCCGCCAAACCTACGTCCGCCCCGACTTGGTCCGTTCCTTGCAGACTCTCGTCACTTGCCACTGACAAAGAACTCTTTGTTTCCGCCATGGTTAACATTCAAACCATCCTCTGCTACCAAATAATGTGGCTCATAAACCCAGAGATATTCTCGAAAGGCAACTAACTGTCTTGAACCATCCTCTGCTACCAAATAATGTGGCTCATAAACCCAGAGATATTCTCGAAAGGCAACTAACTGTCTTGAACCATACTCAGATTTACTTCGATGACCATTCAGAAGAATACCATCACAAGCAGAACTCTGGAAAACAACAACTGTGCCTACGCTCCGATGAACTTATATAGCAAGAGCGACGGCCACATCCAACACCCTGCCTCTACACCAACACTTAGCACATGCATGTAGATAAGAAGAGCGCGTGATGACGAATAAGGTGCTAAGTGCTAGCGTAGAAACAAGGCGCTAGACGTAAGAAGAGCGCGTGATGACGAATAAGGTGCTAAGTGCTAGCGTAGAAACAAGGCGCTAGACGTGGCGCGTACAGGCAACAATTTAGCAGAGCATGGAGAGGAAAACTGTTCAGCAACATTCAAAGAAGCAGAACGAGAACGAATAATACTTCAATTGAGGCTACCTCCGTAACACGTGCCATGCAGTAGCAGACTTGCAAGAACAGCTTAATGCAAGCCAACCTGATGCTTGATTTTGGCTGGTTGTGCGTGCCAGTTTAAGTTAGTATGTTCCCAAGTTCTAAGGATTGGCAACAAGACTTCCCCTACAGGTGGTTAGGATGCTGTCGGCCTCTGCATGCAGATCCTAACACACAAACGCTCATATGAATGTACAGTACACACACACACACACCTGCCCCGACCCCCCCCCCCCCCCCCCTCCACATACCCACCACCATATCCACGTTCTCGCACGAAGGAACTCATCGAATAAAGTCATTGATGCAAATCATGGTTGTCAGTGAAGACTTTCAATTTCACAGTATATTCGATTAAAAAGAAACCTAGGATAACAATTGAATCTACCATCATTATAATACTTATAAAATTTCCACTGCCTGCAGTGTGAAATATAGGGCCATAATTATAGAATTACATCCAAAGATAGATCCATCCAAGACGGCTTGGACATGGTGCTGCCGGGGAAACTGCCCGTGAAACTATACAACTAGGATGCAAACTAGAGGAAATCTGAGCGCTCTTCGCTGGCCGGCTCAGCCAAAAGAGGATATGGAGCTAAGAGAACACCTGTGATAACCAGCACACCTAGGATTAGAGTATGAGTACAGTCTACATACACATAAGGACACTACATACACATAAGGACACTACATACAAATAAGGAGACTACCTAAGAGAAATGAATCCGCAATGGGGAAATGCAACAGGAAAGAGACCGCACTCCTCGAAACGTCCCCGCATCGACAATATACCCCTACATCCTCTTAGTTGATCTCCTGAGGAGCAGCGGAAGACGCAGCAGCACCACCAGACTGCTGCGCCTCCACAAGGCCGTCGGTGGACGACGCGCTGTACTTGGCACGCTTGAAGCTGGGCGCTCGCGGCGGTGCATGACTCGGCGCTTCCGACGTGGCCACTCGCTTGGCCTGCACGGCGACATCGGAGCCCTTGCCCCAGCCCAGCTGAATTGGACGCCACTGCTCACCTAGCAGAGCAGCCTGAGCAGATAATACATACATGCAGAGCATACAGAGTGAAACCTGCAAAGGCAGCAACCACCTGTTGAAGAATAGCTATACCGCCATGGTACTGACTGGGCAGATAATACATACATGCAGAGCATACAGAGTGAAACCTGCAAAGGCAGCAACCACCTGTTGAAGAATAGCTATACCGCCATGGTACTGACTGGGCAGATAAGACGTACATGTAGAGCACACACGTACGCAGGGAAACCTAGCAGACTCAGCGGAAGACGTTCAGGTTGGTTGTAACTCTGTGTTTCATGCCGCTAGGCAATTATCAGACAACTGATACTACTACTAACTGAGCTCTGTCCCTGACATTGAGCACTCTCTGCAGCTCGGGGATCAACGGATGTTTTGTTTTGTTTTGAAGAAGAGCTATACAACAAGAACGAAGGCAGGGGCAGTGTCGGACAATGTAGGGTCACTACGGTATTGACCGTAGCACTCATTGACCAAAGTACCACTGTACCTGTGAATCAATAAAAAGCACTGGTCTGGGCGCTAAAATTTCCAATTTTTCAGCTGACCGAACCCTCCCTCAAGAGCAAATTTTACTTCAGATGGCTGACTGTACCACACTAAAATACCTAACGACGGCCCTGCAAGGGAGGCTATGTCCTGTCCAATGACCGCGGATAAGAAGGCCATATGTACACGAGGACCACATGTGTAAAGTCCCTTGAGTGGTGGGATTCGACAGGTTTCACTGGCGATACAGACTGGCACACTCATCGAAAGTGATTACGCACACTCAACACTGGATTGCACACTCATCGAAAATGATCACGCAATCCCAACCCTTGGTTCCGGCAGCGCTTGCCTTGCATGTCGTCGTTTGTGTCCACGCGATCAGCTAAACAATTGCATGCACAGAAACACACCTGGCACATGCACAAAACCACGCATGAACTGCTACCCCTCCCCCCAACCACACATACGCTCTCAGTCTGTTGTACATGTAGTGGACAATGATCCAATACTTACCACCATGTACGTAGTGCAGGCAAAGAACAAACAGATTCCACCCAGCATAGTCGGCAGCAAGAAGAGCATCGGGATGCACATACTGCACAAACAACACAAGCACAAACACCAACAATAAGAATGTTTAGAAATTATACCGTTTGAAAGAAGACTGGAGTCTGGAAATGAGTGCAGAAACCAAGAGCGAAACCTCGAAAACTTAGATTCGAAGTTGGAGTGATTTCACATGAAAGTTGAGCAATGAGAACTTGTGATGGCATCGCATGTAGAGCTGGTGATTCAAATCCAGCACTTCCACCCATCCCTCTGCAGCATGTGCATTTCCACCCATCTCTCTGCAGCATGTGCACTTCCACCCATCCCTCTGCAGCATGTGCACTTCCATCCATCCCTCTGCAGCATGCGCAGATGAATAGTGAAGTATCGTTATCGTGAATATTAATTTTCTATCTTTATCAAATATACCACTCTTTGGTCTAGAAAGAATACTTTTTGATATTACAATGAGAGTGGATAATCAACGGCTTGTCCACCAACTCTTTGAATAGTGACAGCTGAGCAAGACCTGGGATTGCATTGTACGTGCAATTACATACGGATGTAACTCATGCAAAATTGTGTGACGCATGCCATTCATTTATTGGCCGTCCCTTTTAAAAATGAGAGCAATGCCATGCATGCCTGCTTGGACACGGCAACATTACAATGCTCCCCCCCCCCCTTCCCCCTTAGATTCCTAATCACAGGCATGCATGTACTGAAGACTAATTCATTCCAAAATTTGAGCTCGGCTCCCGAGTTGAGCAAAGATTGCGGTAGACCACAATGATTATCTTTATCTACTCCGATTGATTCAAATTCGTATCCCAAAGTTCAGCGTGAAGAAGCGATTGTTGCTACTTTGGCGATACATCAACTACTTGCTCAAGTTCAAGAAGTTTAACCTGTCTATACACCCTTCCCCTTGTGTCTATGATGCAGACAAATACAGGATCACAGGATAAAAAACGATGGAAATGAAGATCCCAGCCCTTACCAAAGATAGAGGACAAATCTGAGAAAGTAGTTGCGACCAACAGGTCCAAGGGCATGGATGATTGGTGCGATCTGCTCCTGGCCACTACATGGACGGGAAGAGAAAGACAGATGAACAGGTATTCATTCAGGATCATTAGGGCTGGGTTCCACTGCGGCTCCGCTGCTCCCTTGCTCGTCATCTGCGGCTTGAAACGTCATCATTACCATAGTGACCGCGGCTCGAGCTGGAGCAGCGAGGCCGCGGCCCACCGCGAGCTTTTGCTATGATTCTTGACCAAAACAGTGAGCCGCGGTCGCGGCTCGACCTGTTTCCCGTACTTTGCATTGTTTTGTACGCGAGAATTTTAAAATTCAAATTGTAATGCGTTGGGCAGGCCAGATGACGAGGATTATTTTTGATTTCGCGCGTTTAGGCAGGTAAAACATCATCAAAAAAACGTGGAGCACGACCGCGGTACAGCGAATGGCAAGTGTCAGTGGAACCGCGCTGCTCCGCTGCATGTAGCCAAGTGCCGCGGAGCAGCGGAGCCGCAGTGGAACCCGGCCCTTACATCACGTGCGAGAATACAGCGAGCGAGCGAGGGAGAGAGAGAGAGAGAGAGAGAGAGAGAGAGAGAGAGAGAGAGAGAGAGAGAGAGAGAGAGAGAGAGAGAGAGAGAGAGAGAGAGAGAGAGAGAGAGAAAGAGAGAGAGAGAAAGAGAGAGAGAGAAAGAGAGAGAGAGAGAGAGAGAGAGAGAGAGAGAGAGAGAGAGCGAGAGAGCGAGAGAGAGAGAGAGAGAGAGAGAGAGAGAGAGAGAGAGAGAGAGAGAGAGAGAGAGAGAGAGAGAGAGAGAGAGAGAGAGAGAGAGAGAGAGAGAGCGAGAGAGAGAGAGAAAGAGAAGGTCCTATTTCGAGACACTTGGTTTGGCTAAAAAAGTGGACTTGAACGTGGCACCCTCTGTTTCTTGATGATTGTCTTACACATTCCCACTATGCCTGCTTGGTTTGGCTGAAGCATGGTAGGAATAATAAAGAGCATTGAGAGGGATATTTGATGGAGCAGAAGAATAGGAAATCAACTGCAAAAGTGAGAAGATATCATATGAGCCCGGATCAGCGAAAACCATCGCTTGTGTTTGATATCAAGTTGATCAAAAAGTGACGTTGAAGTCGAGCGAAAGAAAAGTCGCGGACCTAACCCACCACCTTTCTGTCTTTCTTGTCACTAGTCTTTCTTTCCGCCTGACAAGCCCGTGTTTGTTTGTTTGTCAGTGACTAGCTAGCTAGGCGAGCCCCAGGCAAGTGAGGAGACACGGCTGGGAAACCCCACGTACCTGAGCTTGGCTGGCGAATAGGTACGATCGCGGGGCGCGGGTATCGCACGCGCATCGATCGTGGTTGACGTCAATCACGACACGATATTTTCTGGTGATGACTGGGATGGCGATTGCTCATCAAGGGAGTCAGGTGAAAGCCGCGGAGCTCCAGAGGACGACTCTCTCCTGCCGCAAAGCGACTCGGCGAGGCTGCTGACTTCGTGTAGAAGAAAGCAGCGCTGATGAGAATGACGACGACTCGGGTGGATATTGTTGAGCGATGAACGACTCCTTCACTAGTAAGTTTGTCGGATATCGACAGTGACGATGCAGAGCAAAGGCGTCTCGATTCACGACTGGAAGAGCAACGAGAGCTAGCGCCAGACAAGATCTGCTTCGTTGGCTTGGACATTGAGCAACGTTACTGGAAACATTTATTTGGTCCATGCAGCAGCTCCCAAAAAATTCAAAAAATATGTTCCTGTAGGGTCAGGTAACCGTTGAATGTATCTGCACCTAGTACGTACCTCATGCTCATGAGCCTGTGTGCTAAGTAGTCACAGCTGCTGTAATTGCACTCCGTGTGTGCAGATATGTTTTCATGGAAGTGAAGGCCTTGGAGAGCATCAGTACAGAGCCTGGTGTGGATGCAATATCAGCCCCTGGAACTTGGCCATATGCCGTTAGCTGCGCGATAGTCAGTGAAGCCAATGATTTACTTGGACGAGCCAGTGAGCCAAGGACTATAAAATTCCTCCTTGTTAGCCGGATGAGTGATGGCAATGCCTAACAGGATCAGACACATACCAACGCTCATACTTGCATCCTACACAGAAATGCCACTTCCAACATTTGTACAGAGATGTGGTGTACCGCATTTTTTGGTCACTTACGGTGCTGTGATTGATCTAAAATTTCTTGAGACTGGTTATCAGTGGTTGTGGATCAATTTGGAGCACAAAAATATTTTTCGAAAATTTTGCACATGTGATGGTTTTTGCTGATCCAGGCTCATATTATAGTCTGTTTCAAAAAGATTAGCAATCAGGTTTTGGTCTTAAAAAGTATGAAGATCAGGGAAAATTGGACAACGAAGTACATAAAAGTGCTGGTTAGGGCACGGAAAATTGTTCTGTGAAGGTTTCGGAACAATTGGACCAGCCGTTAAGGAGTTAGAATTTCGGCCAGGTTTCCGGCCTTTCCCCATGGTTTACAATTTGCCCTGGAAGCCAGTATCGCTTTTTCTATCAAAACCTACGCTTTATCTTTTCCTTTCTGGCCTTGTGGTTATGGATGCTGTCTGCTGACCATGACGTTGTGAGTTCAAATCCCAACCTATCTTCAAACTCACACTTTTTTCATTGTTTTTTGGTGATCAAGCAGACTTGTTGTTGTTCACGGTTGTTGTTGTTGGAGCTCCCGCTTCCTCCCGAACTGACTGACACTTGACTGGCTCACGCCATGTGAACACACCCACAACACTGAAACGGTGTGAGTGAATACGGAAGTCATTGCGCTGTAGCTACGTGTTGAATACACCGGCACATCGATCGATCGATTTCTTTTTGAGAATTATTTCAAGATCGCCAATTTATTTGAATTTAGAAGTCAACGCCGACTTCTATCAGCTTCCACAGGCGTCTGCTTTTCTCAAAATGTTGTCGAAGTCATACGGATAGCTTCGCCAAGTCATGGCCTTGGGTATGAGTCTGTGTCGATGTCGTTTTCGTCACATGGTGAGAGTAAATTGCATCGCAGCTCAAAGAAACTATTTGGTCACAAAACATATTGGGACCCATGCCGCTCGTCAGCCTCGGCATTTACTACACTTTCGACATGTCCTCTCTGACTCCATAATCGATACGAGGAAGAACTCGTTTGTTGTGAACCAGATGTACACGACTGTACCGACATCGACCTGAGTGAGTTGTCATTTTTCATGCTTTCGCGCGGAATATTTCTTCGAGTTCACAGTGAGCTTTTCCAGGCAGCGCTCGAGCGCTCATACGGTAAGACGGCAAACTCCCCGGGCGATCACCAGGATTGCTAATCTTTTTGAAACTGACTGTAGTGATATTCTCGCCCGGTTGAATGTCCGAACAATCAAACAAGATACTGTGTGCCATTTTCTGTTTATGCACAATCCCAATGCTATACCAGTACCCAAACACTGGTAGAAAATTGGACACAAAACACTACAATTGGACACAAAACACCAACACACACGCTAGACTGCGGGCATGCGTGTCTTCGTGTGCACACACACACACACACACACACACACACACACACACACACACACACACACACACACACACACACATACACACACACACACACACACACACACACACACACACACGCTCAATTATCCACAGCACAGGGAGAGGCTTACACTCTTGGGAAGTTGCTGCCCTTGCTTCTCTTGCTGCGAGGGTACTCAATCAGCATGATCAACAAGCTGATTGGTCTAGACAAGACATCAGAAGTCAAGGAAAATATTACACAGCTACTGTATACTAGTGTTTATCAGGCGAGTTGGAAGGCTATTGGAGTGCGTATCCAAGACGTGCTAGAGATGATTAGCAGTTAGTTGTAGAACGTCAGTACCGTTGATCAGCGATGTGCAATACAATCCATCGAGCTGATTGTCAAGTAACTGGTTGTAGTTGTGGACATGATAATAGCGCAACATATTCTTCCTTGGTCCTTTTCTTTAGGAAGGAGTGGTAGCGACTTCGGCGATGGTTGTAAGGAAAGAGTTTGCTCCGCACACTGGAGCTCGCGCTAAGACTCAGTGTGTCAAGTCCAGTCGGCGGAATAGCGCGAGCTCCAATGTGCGGAACAAACTCTTTCCTAACAATGTCGCCGAAGTCGCTACCACTATTTCGTACTATTGTGCCCAGCGCGGGCTTGTGACTAGCTGGTTTGGAGGTGACAGCATTGTGAATGACTGAGGGTTCTTGAAGTCTGTCCTCACCGTCCAGAAGCGACACTGATTCACGCTGCTATTCGGTAGTCACGAGGTGTTTGTCGCGTTGAAAACAGAGTGTCTCTATAAGTTTGTATCCCTGGTGATGTTTGTGCCTGGAGAGCACTATAATTATAAGTGATGCTCTCCAGGCACAATCTTCCTCAGCCTACTCAAGCTCAACTGATGAGGGGTGAATTCCCCGAAACACTGTGTATTGAGCAGCCAGTGGTTCTTTCTTGCAGGTGTGCCGAGTGGAAGGTTTGATGGACTTCTCGTGTGCTCCGGATGGCAGTCATCAGTCACTCAAGTGTCAAGTCAAGTTGGCGACATAGCGCGAGCTCCCGGGGGGAGCAAACTCTGTCCATTTCTTTCCCGACAAAAGTGAGGGTTGATTTACAACTAAGATTAGACTCATAACCGGGTTCTACCAGTAACTTCCAACAATGACCTGCATGGCCTGGCTGAGTCCATCATGTGTACTAATTTTTCCAGGACTTCGACGTTTCACCCTGCAATGAGAAAGAAGTGTTTCTGTGATTCGTTTCCAGAAGTTTTGGCAGTGCTCGTTTGGGTGAAAACGTTTTAACCCTTTGAGAGCCGACCCATACTTGAATGTGTAGAATTCTACACACTCGACTGTGAGACTTCAACTGGCCGTAACTCGGTCAAAACTAGCTCAAATTCAACGATCCAAATATCTACCTTGAAGAGAAAACTCTCAGCGTGCCGTAGAACCCATCCGCGACGCGCTGCGATCAACGGTTCTTGAGATAAATCGCTCGTAAGTTCAGCCGCGATCGCGGCACTTGAAAAGCGTGGGAGTGCAACTCGAAAGTTGAGAATTTTGAGACTTTTCCTCGCGCTGAGTTACTCAAATTTGCGTGGGTTTCACTGGTAGTATTTCCAAGGGTACACAGCGAAAAAATCGAAACTCTGCGATCAAGAAAAATGAAAATGCTGGAGCAGGACGAAAGTGCACGCATTTCAAGCAGTTTTCGCTAGGTCGCTGCTCTCTGGCGCTGGAGATATGGCGTCCTGGTCATCATGCGTGACCTCAGTCTCTTCCTCTCGCGGAGACCTTTCCAGGAAGCCCAAGATTGTGAAGTTTGAGTGAGTAGAACTGAAGTTACGTCCCAAAGAACATGAAAATATGCAGAATTTTGAAATTTTCAATCGGCTCTCAAAGGGTTAAAAACCAAAAATAAGATCTTTGGATACAAGGAGAGGAGAGGGGAGGGGAGGGGGGGGGGGGTATTAACTTTTAACCAGTGAAACAAGGTATAGGATTGGAACGTGGAACCCATGTAGTGCTTGGAAGAATCTAAATCCCTAATTAGCAACTTAACGCCTGCACCTGACTCGAGCGCTATGATTCCCACAGAATTTCTCACCTTGCTCCCCCTTATGTTCAGGCTGCCCATTTTGGAGCCATCAGTTGCCTGATGACCGTAGTATTACGTGAAGCTCAGAGTTGCGACACAGCTTCCAATCTCTCTTGTGTAAATCCAGAATTATTAAAGTTACTATTGTGGTAATGACAAACAGTGGCGCACACACCATAGATCATGTGTGAGTTTAGGAAAGGGTGTATTGGAGAAATCCCTAACTCCCCAACAACACGCAGCATTGTATTGCATGCACTTGAGTAGTGCATCTCATCACAATATTGCACAAGATCCTTAATTCCCAAATTCTGTTTTCCTGACACATTTTCCAAAATGAATAGACAGCGGAAATTGGCTAATATTTCGAGTACAGAAACAGGCAGCTTTGCAGCTGCTGGAGGATACATTGAGTACCATGCTATCCACTGCCGTCGAAACTGAATAGCAGAACCGAGTATACCTCCGACAAGGATAACTGTTATGATGAAAACAGAACACGACGAAGCGAGATGCGCGCACATATGCATGCACACAAGCACATAATAGACGTCAACACATGCACAGAATTTTGGGCCCAAATATGTACAGTCAACTTCGCTGATAACGACTGCGGATATAACGACAATTCGCGAATAACGACAGAATTTCCATGCCCAGAGCAAAGTCCCATCTTACTGTAATACATATAATGAGACTTCGGGTATAAGGACATTTCGCAAATAAGGACACTTTTCTGATGCCCCGCCGAGATACGCAAAGTTGACTGTATAGCACACGTGCATGCACACACACTTCCACTTCCACATGCCCATCGTTGAACTCTTGTATACACGTAATTTAGCCGAAGGCTTCCAGGACCAACTAGAGCCAGCCTTGGGGACAACTGGCGCCGTGTCATCTTCTTTGACGTCCATTGTAGAGACAACCACTCATTTCCCAACTGCAGGTATACTATAATCCGGAACGTGCACAATAAAATTCTTCTGCCACCTTGTATTCGTCACAACTGAGTATGAGACAGAAACTCCGCAGTCCTCAGAAGCCTAGTTCATGTGCCATCAGGGATGAATCCGAATTTGGAAAGTAAAGTCGACTCCTGATTATTATTATATTGAACACCGGTGTGTAGGAGACCTGGTTGTTTTAGCCAACGTTGTAATATGCACTCACATCATACAGGCAACATGAGTCATGCCTCCGGGCTTGTGGCCCATGATCGTATGACTGTATGAGTGCACTTGGCCCTACATCAAGGAGTTGTACAAATCCTATACAACTTCCTGGTTTACATGCCGACCTACAAGATGAGAAGGTTTGTAGTAAACGAAAACTGCTCACTGCTAAGGGTCAACTGTGTATAGGTTCAAACAGGGACATGGACAGTAATTCACTTTATCATGAAGTTCACTATACGGGAGTTCGTTATATAAGTGTAGTCGTCTGCACACTTCAGACGCACAGCACGAAGTACCGTTGATCAACAGTGTCCTTACCAAACTTGTTTCACTGCAGGGGTGGAACTTCAATCAATGTTGTCATGTTTTATGTGATGTAAAACATAATAAATCACCGTAAAAGGTCTACCTTGCTGTACCGTGCTCCATTGCAGGAGACAATTTTGTTTATTTATCGTACTTTATTACTTCAATGCATGAAAGATGTTGCGACATCGGCGGTGATTAGTGAAGAAAGAGCCTGCTCTGAACCTTGGAGCTCGCGCTTTCTGCCGACTGACTTGACACTTGAATGACTCACGACTGCGTCTGGAGCACACGAGAAGCCCGCCGAACCTTCCACTCGGAAAACCTGCAAGAAAGCACCACTCCCTTTTGAGTACACAGTGTTTCGGTGAATTCACCGGTGCCCCCTCATCAGTTGAGCTTGAGTAGGCTAATGAAATTTCTGCTCGGAGAGCACTGCATCATGTAGTGCTCTCCAAGCCAAAACATCACTAGGGATACCAACTTACAGTGACGTTCCGCTTCCAGCGCAACAAACACTTCGTGAGCACCAGAGGCAGCAGCGTGAGTCAGTGTCGCACATGGAGTTGTGAGAGTAAGTGTCAAGTTAGTCGGTAGGAAGCACGAGCTCCGACGTTCGGAGCAGACACTTTCTTCAATGATCACCGCTGATGTAGCAACATCTCTCGCACTTTTGTCCCTTACGCGGGAACGCGACTAGATCGTTGGAAGTGACAGCGTTGCGAATGGCAAATTACCCTCAACGTCTGTTCTCACAACTCCATGTGCGACACTGACTCGCGCTGTTGCCTGGTGCTCACGAAGTGTTTGTTGCGCTGGAAGCGGAACGTCACTGTAAGTTGGTATGGCTAGTGATGTTTTGGCCCAGCGGAGAGCACTACATGATGCAGTGCTCTCGGAGCAGAAATTTCATTAGCCTACTCAAGCTCAACTGATGAGGGGTGAATTCCCCGAAACACTGTGTACTCAGCACGGAGTGGTGCTTTCTTGCAGGTTCGCCGAGTGGAAGGTACGGCGGGCTTCCCGTGTGCTCCAGACCCAGTCGTGAGTCAGTCAAGTGTCAAGTCAGTCGGCAGGAAGCCCGAGCTCCGACGTTCAGAGCAGACACTTTCCTCACTTCGAAGTACTAACTTTATACCCTTGTAAAATAAATAGTAATAATATACAGTCGACTCCACTGATAACGAACTCGCATTATAATGACTTTCGTGATATAGCGAACCCTCGCCCATGTCCCTGTTTGAACCCATACAAATTAACTTGACCCTTTATAACGAACCAATAAGGTAACCAACTGCACTCATACAGTCATGGGCCACTACTGCACTTGTCAGTTATGAACGCTGTTTGTATGTGTGAGTGCATTTCTGATAAACGAACTTCGGCTATGAAGTATTTTCATTGAAGAACATATTTTCCTGCACAATGGTGTTCGTTATATCAGGTGTCGGCTGTAATCTCATCACTCCATTCCGTGCATGACTTGAATCATTGGCGTCTTTGATACAACACTTTCCAGAGACGATAATTGCGGAAATATCATGAATTACAGAAAAAACAGTACACTTGGTGGTGTCGGGTGAACACCATCGATGCATTGTGGTCCACTTACTCATGGCCGCCCCCATGGCCTGGAGGTTGGCCCACATAGCGAACTCGATACGCATGGTGGCGTGTTGGACTCCTTGCTGGCCTCCCTGGCTCCTCACGAGTCTCAGCTAGCGAAAACACTGAAGGCTTCTCGCCACTGAATGCACTGCCCGGCAGCCGCCTGCGTCCCCAAAGACGTCCACAAGGCCAGACCGCGCAGTGAAGTATGAACGCTTTTACGAGCACCGAACAACAAGGGGCTACCGACTACGGGAACACAGCTCTGGACAACAAGCTACGAAAAATATTCTTTTTTTCTGAAAATGAAAGAGGCAAGGTTCGTGTTTAGGCAAGGTAGCAAGCCGAGAATGTTTCCGCCACAGCTAGCTACATGTAGATCTACCAGTCCATATCCATCACGCTCACTTGTTCTGCTAGCTGTCGTTTGTCGGCAAAATCGAGGTGAGAAACCCTGTGTCAGGTGCAGACGTGACTCGCATCAAGTCGCTCCATCATGCTTGCTCGCGCTACTGCATGGTACAGACTAGACACCCAGGGCCATGCCCAGCTGGCCAGGCCAAGGCAGACGGGGCGTTGACCTGTTTGGTGTGAATGCCATTCTTCATACTGACAGCAGGGTCTTGCCTTGTCAGCTTCATCAGCTCACTCCTCGCCAGTGCCAGAACTACCACGGCTGAGTGGATCAACACTACACGACAGCAGACTGGGATAAAATGCACGCCTTTGCCTTTGGCTTTTTCAAACACCGATCATATCAGAAAAGGAACCTTTCCGGACTGAAATCCGTCGAAGATTTTACTGTGCGTATTATACCGTGATTATCCCCTCCTCTGCTGTGTGAATATTACTAGTATGCTCTAGCTGTGTATATGTACACCTTGAGCACTGTAAGTAAGTTGTAACTATAAAAGGCTTAGTGCTCGTGGACTTCAGTCTTTAACAGTAACTGTTAGCAATTGTTTGGTTGTAAGCCTTTTAAAAATTATCAAATCCGAAAAATGTTCCAGACACCAAAATGCAATAACATGTACGTGCGTATCAGTACGTACTCAGGTACTGTGGCACTGACCAGGTAGCAGTATTGATGCACTGCATTATTTCTATTATTTTAGTGTCTGGAACAGTGTCCGATTTAGTAATTATTTTCTTGTTGCACTGCACATGCACATCCTAATGCAGCATCATCCTCCCCTCCTCCCCCCCCCCCCCTCCTCGTCAGCAAAATTAATAATAATTATGTCATGGTGAAGTGTCTCAAATCGCTCATCCCTCAAAGTCATACGCAAGAACATTATGAAAGTGATATAATCCGATTCAAATCTCAACTCATAGATATGATCCATACCGGGACAGCCTCTGGTGATAAGATGCTCATAATCGAGGGTGAAAACGTTCCTAACGAATTCTCAGACGAGTCAGAGCAATGCTCTAGTGCAACGGCAGAGGTATAGGTAGGCACAAGAAAAGTAAGATGAGAAATAAACAATATAGCAAAATCTCTAGAAGAAAAAAAATATTTAAAATATTCAAAAGCCTTGGGCATTGAGAACCTAAACGTTGCCAGCACCGGAACTGAATTTATCAATAATATTTATGGCGCTGCACCACACCTGTGGCACCCGCAAAGAGACACAGTAACATGGACAGCGAGGTCCGTGTCAGTGACATTACACTATGTCTGCAGTGCAGTCGCAGGGCAAATAAATTAATATGTCGGCAGACAGATTATAAAAGATTCTATTTGTTTCTCTGAAAGCACAGTGGCTGTTCATTGGCACAGTGGCTGTTCACAGATTAGAGTATCCAGTCAGTTCGTATAATAACAGAATGATCCTTGATAGCAGGTCAGAGTGCTCCTATCGAATGTCTCCTAAAGACTGCGCAGAGCGAGAAACTCTGAGTAGAGAGAACTCCACTGGACCATGTGTGCGCTCATATAATTATATATCTATATTATCATGATCACTTGGCACAAGCCAATAAAGTTGTGGCGTGGGCAATAGCCGACCTCGGCACCATGCAGCAGGAGTTTCAGTTCCTCCAATGAATTTGTATCACAGACCAAATCCGATCTACGTTCCCTATAAAAAGCCTGTTGGGAATTCACTAGTAGAACAAGGGAGAGAGAGAGAGAGAGAGAGAGAGAGAGAGAGAGAGAGAGAGAGAGAGAGAGAGAGAGTGAGAGAGAGAGAGAGAGAGAGAGAGAGAGAGAGAGAGAGAGAGAGAGAGAGAGAGAGAGAGAGAGAGAGAGAGAGAGAGAGAGAGAGAGAGAGAGAGTAAGTGTGTGTGTGTGTGAGAGAGAGAGAGAGAGAGAGAGAGAGAGTGAGTGTGTGTGTGTGTGTGTGTGTGTGTGTGTGTGTGTGTGTGTGTGTGTGTGTGTGTGTGTGAGAGAGAGAGAGAGAGAGAGAGAGAGAGAGAGAGAGAGAGAGAGAGAGAGAGAGAGAGAGAGAATGAGGGAAAGAAGCATTGGGAACTTGTGGCCTGCGCCAATTCCTACCTCCACCATTAGGAATAATACAACCTCCACGAAAACTCAGCGGCTTCATAACATTGATGGGGAGACTACAGTGCTTTTTGACGTTGCGTCCGTTTTCGCGGGTTCAGCTCTTCTAGTAGGAGCGTTCTGAGGCGCTCAGTCATCAAACGTGTATCAGTCGTTGCCGTGTAATCACTGCACTCAGTCAGGAGCAAGTGCAAGTTATGACGTATACGCACCGGCGCGCTCCACAGCAGACCAACTTGTGTCTTCGTGCCAATGAAAATCTTACGACACAGTACCTGGCATAGCGCACACACAGTGAGTGTTGCAAAAGAAGAAACATTGGAGGTCAATACACGGACAGATGTCAAGGTACTGTGCATGGAACCGTCACAAGACATACCCGGTACGGAATGTCCTGCAATGGGTGCACGTGCATTATTATTATTATTTACTCAATGCAGACTCAGTATAGTGCTGCAGGGTGCATAGCATGCGCATGTGACCAACACAAAAGTGCATGATTGTACTGGTAATACTGTAGAAGTACAAATTTTCGTTCACGAAATCTTTCGTTATTTCACTCCACCAGCCGGCTTGTTACGTACTAAATTTCGTTTTTGGTCGAGTTCTCTCACCCCGAATGTTCAGAAAAACAACTTGAGTTTGGTACAAACTTTAATTATTTCGCGCCCCCTAACGGAAGCGGAAAGGTGGTTCTTGACCAGGGAGCTGTACGACTCCTTGTTCTTGACCTGCCCGGTACGCGAAACCGTCGATTTTTTTGATTTTTTTTAACGAATAAAGTTAATTCCAAACGAAAATTTGTTCTTGTACAGTACTGTGTTTCTGAAGATGGATTAGTGCGTGAAACTCAGAGTAAAAACACTTTTTCGTTCTCTTATTAATAGTTATTATCGCTTGTACTGGTATTATCATGATTCACGGCTATGCAGTTATGTTTTAGTTGTAAAATATCTCCAAGGCTGTGAATCATTTAAGAGTGTGCTGCAGTATTTTCATTGTAATGAAAGGTCATTTCAAGGGAGCGGCCGATCTCACAGAAATTGTACGTCTTTGGGGATCAGCTGATATTTGAATTTCCTGACCCATTCCTCTCTCAGCGGCAAACAAGTTGCACTCAAGTTTGGCTTTCGCGAACAGATGTCGCTCTCTCGAAAGGAAACAAGGACTGCTATACATAGCGCATTGGGCGAGCAGGCAGTACCATGTACGGTCAAGCTGGTACAATACATCTCATGCATGTACATCTAGTATGCCAATGCCGGTACATAACAGTTATCCAGGTCGACACAGTGCGTGTGTGTGTGTGTTTGTGCGTGCGCGCACGGCCGCACGCGTGTGAGTCACACATGGTGCAGTGGTATGTGCAGTCGATTTCCAATCGAGAGGTTGCGGGTTCAATTTCCGACGATTAAGATCACGCACTGTGTGGTGTAGACCAGGCTAAAATAACGGTCAATTCATCAGCCTTGCAAGCTGTTGAATGGTGTAATCCCAGCACAAGTTGCTATGTCTAGCATAGTTCTTCGCTATCATCTCTTCTGCGATGGGTATGTCTGATTCTGAGTGTACGAACTAACCTGAGGCCGGGTTTAGGGATTTGATGGGAATTCCGGTATGCGTTGAAAGGATAAGAGCCCCTCTCGAATAGAAGCCTCCTCAAAATTGGCCATGTAACGTTAAAACTAGAGGTCCCCAGCTTCTAGTCGCGGGAGTAAGTTTGGCATGCACTGCTACACACGAATAGATGCACATACTAGATGCACCCACCAGAAACACACACACACACACACACACACACACACACACATGCACCTCAGACCTGCCCATCGCGGAAGCGATGATAGCGAACAGCTATGTTAGACATAGCAACTTGTGCTGGGATTACACCATTCAACAGCTTGCAAGGCTGATGAATTGACCGCCACTATTTTCTAGCCTGGTATCCACGACACAGCTGATTGAAGTGGCTTTTTCTGGCCAGTGAATCCCTATTTTTCATTTTTTTTTTACACACACACACACAAACACACATACTTCCTCCGTTAGCAAAAACTTCGTGATGGATTTTGATGGATACGAAAACGCTTAGAACAGGTCAAGAACAGTTTGTATCCACTGCAAATCACTGGACGAAGGTAGTTCAGCTTATGTACAGCGTCTTTACAAGAGAAACTGGTGGCGGAATGAGCACAGAGTTCCGCTTGCGTCGCTTTCGCTCGACTCATTTTTGACCCTGCATTGTTGTCGTCATCTGTTGCACGCGAGTCATCATATCTCCCGAGTCGTTGCTCAGCTTGTTTCAGCCTTGCCTCGGCTGCTTTGATCACACTCCGCTGAACTTGATGTCGTCGTCTTTCAAGTAAGTTGGCTTTCAAGCTGCGTGATCCGCCACGGTGGCGATTACTAGTTTCCACCAGGGAGTTGTACAAATATTTTACGACTCCCTGGTTTCATCTCTGGTCTCCAGAACTCCGCTAAATGAGGCGTAAAGTCACAGCCACATTTATTCCATTTTCTCTGATGGATACTCCTGCCAGCACTGAACGGCAGCGGCTAGCAAGCTCAGTCCAGTCAACTTTCCTTAGCCACGAGACTCACGTCGGAGTGCAGACTTCTGAAAGAATGCATGGTCATCAGCATTCGATTCTGGGCCTTCCGCAGGTTGAACAAGAACTTGAATTCAGAGTTTTTTCACTGCGCCGTGGGTTCGGAGCAGCTCCTTGTTCACTCGCTCATTGTGTGGGCTCGCTGGTCCGTTCCACCGCTCTCTAACACTCTATCACTCTCAAACTCAGTGCTAGAGTAGTAGAGAGGCAAAGCAGCGCATTATCCCTCGGAGAAGTTGTATTTCAGTTTCGTTCGACAGGACCGTCAACACCTATGTTGTCACAGCGTAACCATCGATTCTGCTCGGCTTGTTGTGAATGGCCGCTTTCCTTGCATCGTACCTCCTTCATGGCATGCCAGGGAAGGCCGAGAAAGTGATCGCGCCTCATTTCAAGGCAGTTTGTGCCCAAACCAGTCCCTCAAAAATCGATCACGAAGTTTTTGTTAATTAACGGAGGAAGTACATACACACACACACACACACACACACACACACACACACACACACACACACACACACACACACACGCACACACACACACGTCTGTGACACACACAAGCACAAACACACTGAACGTATTTCGCCATACCACTTACATGAAGGTTGTGGTTGGAGCGCACGTCGGCACACTGCCTCCTCCACTTGTCGCAGTATGCGTGGCAGTCAAAGAATTCGCACTCTTCATCAGTGTCACAGCGCGGCTGGCCAAGCATCTCCTTCATCTTGCGCTCAAAGAACGAGATATCAATATCGATTGCCTCCACCTCCAGCTCGTTTCTGCATTCCGACGACTCATCTGTATTGCGTTCCATCCTGACACCTGGATCATCTGCCCATTCAGTATCATGCGAGGATAGTGCGTGAACGTTTTCGGAGTTGTCCGAGCAGGTGGTTGCCTGTCTACGCACGCCAAAGTTCTCCCCTTTGACGTCGCACAGGTGGAAGACGCCGTACCTAGTGGACGCGAGGCGCTGCTCGAGTGTCAGAAAGCCGAGGGCGGTGCGAACACGCTCGCGCCACGAGATGTGCGGCAGCAGCATGAGATTGAATGCAGATGGAGGTGGTCGAGACGGCACGAGGTACGCATGCCCGCACGAGCCAATCAGGTTCGGTGTGACGCCGGAGTTCGCGAGCAGCATCAGGTGCACAAACTCCTCCTGGTCGAGCAGTGACCAGAGGCTGTGTAGCTGTGCAGTCGACGGTGGTGGTAAAGGCGGTGTGGAACTGGGTGGTGCCAGGCCGTACCGGTCCATGAACTTCAGCAGTGCTGTGCTGTTGGTTCGATACGGTGACACAAACGCATCCATCAGGTCCTTGAATAGCTGGGCATTGAGAACAAACACAATGATGGCTGTAAAAGGCTGAGCAGTTCTGTTATAATTTTAGAGTGAATACGCTGTTGACACTGTGTAACCATAGGACAGTGAGAAGACTCCCAAAGATCATACCCCTAACTGCAAAGGCTACATCAAATTCATAAATTTCCACAGGTCACGGAATCTTACAACATCAGTTGACATTGTCAACAGAATTCGTAAGCTCCACTTTGCAAAACTTAGACTTCTCTTAGAAGACAAGGGGACCTTAGCCTTGTGGCAATAGACTTGGAGGCAGTAGTTTGATAAGGCCAATGACGAGTTCGATTGATGCAGATATTCCAACAGAACTTAACACCGTTGTAGATTTTACTTGAAGTAAACATGAGCTTCAAAATCTAGATTTCCGGGTAACGGAATAATTATGAAAAAAATGCCCATGGTTCGAAATCGAACCATGGACTCCAAAGGGTTAAAACAAGATACGAAAACTGAGGCGCAGCCGAGGTTTTTATAAATGGTTTTGATTCCCTACAAAAACTCAGCCTTGGCATTTATCTTATACATAAGGCTGGTGTATTGTGCTGCGATGTCTACAGCGAACCTGCTCATTATTGCTCCAACTAGCTTTGTTTCACATACAGTCGTGGCAAGTGAAATCCTACACTTGGCATAAGGGACTACACCATGCAGTGTGCAGCCCCTGCAACCCTGCATAGGTAGCACATGTGTTACACACAACTTTTATCTGTCTCATGACAGAACTCGTACTCATCACAGTCAAGGTTCACAAGAAAAGTTCAAAGGTGCAGGCGGAAATGCATGGGGACTGGATACCAATACTCCTTATGTGTACCATGTCTGTGGAATGTGTGTATCTACTTTGTGATCTTTCGACCTGTTTGGGATGCATACGGCTCTGATGTGCGAATTAGGTACAGCTCATTACATCATTGATATTAGTGTTGAAACGAATAATCGAATAATCGAATAATTTAGAATATTCGTGGGGTGAACGAATAATCGAATAGTCGTAGGAATTATCAGAAATCGAAAAAAAAAAAAAAAAAAAAAAAAAAACCGATCTATGCTAGGCCTTGACGGATTATGCTAATATTTTCGTGAAATTATGCTTTTCGCATTGCTGAAAAAATTGCCGAATTATGCTATTTTTATGCTAAAAGTTATCAAATTATGCCGCATTATGCTGCACATTTGCGACGAAACACCACAGCACTAGCCAACTTGGTTTCGCAAAAAACATGCATGACGACTAGCGCAAGAGCTTTTTTTGTAGAGGGCGTTGTACTGAGTAGCAAAAGTTCAACGGGGTCAACGCACCGTCCGACCTAGCTACGACCGTCACTGATTGTAGTGGACTGGACATGTTATCAAGGGAGTCGTAAACCTACGACTTCCTGGTGCATCTACTTGTACTTGTACTTGTAGGACATGACTTGTGCAACTGTATGGAATTTGATGCGAACAGGCGGATTATTCCAATTATTATTTATGCGATTCGTATGCAATTTGCCTCGAATTATGCGATTATTCGATTTTGGTAGGAATTATGCGAAAAATTATGCTAGCATAATCCGTCAAGGCCTAATCTATGCTCGGTGCACCGGTGCTGACCCTACTGATATTTGCACTGCGTAGATCTGCTCGTAGTATTTCTTCTCAATCTCTTCTCCTCCAAGATTTAATCTCCTATCGGTATCTATAAATACTTCTGTTCTTTCCATACGAGGGAAACTCTTGGCGGTACAGGTTAACCGGTTTTGCACCTCCACATAACAAAATCCGATAATCAGCAAAAAAATCAAAAAAAACCGCTTAAAAAAGTGCTGAAAAAGTGTTGAAAAATGCCATCATGCGTATGATAGAATATAGATTATTCGTTCGATGGAGGGCGAAATTATTCGATAGATTATTCGTTCGAAGAATCCGTGTTCGGTTTAAACACTAATTGATATCCATTTGTGGCGCTGTTCCCTATGGCAAGTAACGGATTTCACTTGCCACGACTGTACAATATTCATTATCAGAAACACTACAAGAACTCGTATGGTTGGGTAGTGCCTCGTAGATGTGCAGGAGCTAGGAATCACGTCGCTGGATGTCTCAGTACACCTTATCAGTGTTGTGCCACGTCGTCGCCCTTGCTGACCGTATATGATCAGGTTACTTTGGTGGACAGTTAGTGATAACTTGTAACATGTTATCCATCCATTTTACACAGCATAAGATGAAATCTGCATCTCTTACCTCCAGTGCCTCTGCCATGGAGATGCCCCCGAGCGGCCCATCAATCGTAGAGCGATAATGCTCGCCGGAGAAGTGCGATGCTTTCAACACCACATCCTCGCTGACCTCGCCTGCGCGTTGCTCGCTGCCACCTTCTCCATTGGCAAGCTGGAGACGACGCGTCAGAGTCATCGCCAGGACAACCTTGTTGCCGTGTGAGAGGCACTTCTTGATAGTGAGCCGGCGTATGGCGTGGTCATCAGGTACCAACGTCGGCTGGCACAGAGCTGGGCACAGAGGTCCGACGATGTAGCCGTGCGTGTAGTTCGAACACTGGGCGTGAATAACAGACAGGAATACAGATAGAGTAAAACCTGTCAAGGCGACCACTCGGATAAGGCGACCACTCGGATAAGGCGACCACCTGTCCAAGAAGACCATTAGAACCAGGACCAAGGGATGTTATTCCCAGTCAAATAACACTGGGTGAGGAGACCACCTGGCTACAGAGACCACGTTTTCAAGGTCCCTTGACCGGTCGTCTTAGACAGGTTTCACTGTGCACACATGCACGGACGCATGCACACACACACACGCACACACACACACACACACACACACACACACACACACACACACACACACAGTGGCACAGGCAACATTACCGTTCTGTGACATACGTGTATGATATACATGGCCTGCACAGGGAGAGATGCAAACAAAGAATGCGTACCACTGCCGCCACCACCCACCCCATCCTCACCCACAGCCTATACTACGCAACTCATCGACCAGGACCGACTCTGTGTGCAGCTACACGTCACTCAGCTTATCAAACAAGACGGAGGTTACGTTATCAGGTGATTGTGTGCTTGAGCAATACACACAGACAGCCTGGGTTGCTTCTCGTAATGGTATACATAGCACTGCCAGCAACTCTGTGGCGTTGACACTTGAAAATTGTTGCAAGCAGGCAGCAGTGCAGTTACAACTAGTTGGTTACTCCCTGCTCACGCGTCGGTGCATTTACTAAAGCCTACACCGTATTCACGCGTCGGTGATGATACTTCTAATCTAGCCAAAATTTACAGAAGTGCATGATTTGAAGTGCAATCGCCCAGAGAGACAAAATTTACAATAAAAATAAATGCAGCACTTCGGAAGTAACATGAACAATCAACAAATCAATACGAAACAATCATTAATTTTGAGATAAAGAGATACTATAATACTATACTAGTATACGAAACACATTATTTTTATCCAAATTCTTACTAGTTGGTCCAGAAAGTTTATAGCTCTCTCCTCATCACATTGCAAGCCTAGCCTCTCCGCGAGCAATTTAGATTGGGGCAAGATTGGGGTGCTCCACAGAGCGAAGATGAACGCTACCGCCACGAGGACACTGATCACAGTGCAACGACGTCGCTGCCCCGCTGTGTGGGGACGGAGTCGCACGTACGATCGCCTGGCTCGAGTGCAGAGCCAGAAGAACAGAGCAAACAACATCCGTACTCGTACCGTCCACTGCCAGCGCGCTAGCGGCGCTGTACCCTATTGCAACAACTGTCTTATCTAACGCTGCCCATGGCACATACTGTTCGCCGAGCAAAGCAGCGGCCTGATCCACGACCGCTACAAAGTCCCCGTCGTAGTTACTACCATCAATCTCCGAACCTGTACCTGCTGCTTGCACAGTGTTACACTTTGCTTCTCGCTTGGATCACCTTTCTTACATCTACTGCCAAGAACAGCAGCGCGGTAGATCTACGTGTAGGTATGCGGCCTGGCGAAGGCTTGAATCAATGAATAATTATAGCTTGAGCCTTGTTTTTTTTTATTGTAGTATATCCTCACCATGCACTATCATTTATTTCCTCTATCAACCACTCGGCACTATTTCCTTAGCCTGTTCGGTGTTCCATTATAAGGAAAGTAATTGAATACGTTTTGACTATTTTATGCAAACCGGTACATCGGCTCAGCTCAGATACCTTAGCTCAGTGCAGGAAATCGTGACAGGAAGAGTGTTCCTACTCCTGACCTGAAGAGTCTGTAGCTTCTTTTGTTACGGCAATGATTCCCATTTGCGTTCAACGGACTGTGATCATGGTGATGTGAGTAGTGACTTCTCGGGCCCCGGTCGCTACGAACACGACACTTCGACAGCTATCACATATCACTATCACTATCAGTGTATCAATACTAAGGCCATAAGCTGATGCTACACAACAGTACAGGGCCACTGAGCCAGGCCGTGAGTGAGGGCCGTGAGGCTACACCGTAGATCTACACGCGTGCGTCTAACACATGTACATCATGGTACATAGACAGGTGCAACTGTACTGTCTGTGCAAGGAAGGTGTTTACGTGACAACGGAGTACTAGTAGTAGTAAAATTAATATTGGTAGTTTACTACTCCCCGCCCAATGCAATGTCAATGATTTTTTTCCAAGCACCTCTATGATTTTTTGGCGCGAACAGCAACATGACGCATTATGTGACAGTCCGTGCGTCAGATTCAAAATAGAGAGGTTCCGGGGTACGATTTTCCGTGCCAAAATCCGTATGGGCGCTACGGATTTTTTCCAGGCGTGCTCCATACGATTTTTCGGCACGAGAATCCGTGTAGACTGGCTTTCATACGAACCATGCTTCGTATGGAGATTTTGCGTCATCGAGTGCAGAAAGATTTTTCGCGTGCAAATTTGGTACGAGAAACATCGATTTTTCGCGGGAAGTTTTGATTTCGGTACAAATTTTCAAAATAAAAAGGCATAGCGCGGGAATGTGACGTGTTTGCGATCGTAACCTAGGCAATGACGGCAAACACATAAGTTCCGTACCCCGGAACTTTTCACTGCTCGAAAACGACGTATATAAAATCCGTAAAGCCTCCACGGATTTTGGCACGAAAAATCGTACTCCGGAACCTCCCTAATATATTATAATATATATATACACGCTGACGAGTCCACAAAGGACGAAACAGTTCTGTCCGCAGATTGAGTATTTCGCTCCTGCTCTTGTAGCAGTTGAGCACTCTTGCGTGGGGTAGTGCCTTTGCTGTTTGCGTTATGCAGAGCTCACTGACTTGTCAGTTTGAGCACTCTGGCAAGGTACGTTCGGGCCTGATTGGAAATTTTTATTTCCATTGCTATCAGGTTCGGCCTCATTTCCTCTGTGCTGCGCTGACGAGTCCACAAAGGACGAAACAGTTCTGTCCGCAGATTGAGTATTTCGCTCCTGCTCTTGTAGCAGTTGAGCACTCTTGCGTGGGGTAGTGCCTTTGCTGTTTGCGTTATGCAGAGCTCACTGACTTGTCAGTTTGAGCACTCTGGCAAGGTACGTTCGGGCCTGATTGGAAATTTTTATTTCCATTGCTATCAGGTTCGGCCTCATTTCCTCTGTGCTGCGCTGACGAGTCCACAAAGGACGAAACAGTTCTGTCCGCAGATTGAGTATTTCGCTCCTGCTCTTGTAGCAGTTGAGCACTCTTGCGTGGGGTAGTGCCTTTGCTGTTTGCGTTATGCAGAGCTCACTGACTTGTCAGTTTGAGCACTCTGGCAAGGTACGTTCGGGCCTGATTGGAAATTTTTATTTCCATTGCTATCAGGTTCGGCCTCATTTCCTCTGTGCTGCGCTGACGAGTCCACAAAGGACGAAACAGTTCTGTCCGCAGATTGAGTATATATATATATATATATATATATTTTTTTTGGTAAACCGGCCTCTTGTACGGGCATAGTAACACAGTGATACAATAAAAACAAGTACCAGTAGTTACATGTACATGGACCATACGAGAAAAAGCAGTGATGACGAGGCATAAACAAGTGTCTAGTTGCTGTATGGCAGCTTCCGAGACAGCGAGTCGAGCGGATGACTCAGCCACCTCCGGGTGCGAATACAGCCGTCGTGCACCACGCAGGCAAGCCACGCCTGCATGGAGAAGGGCGAAGCTGAACCTGCAGCGGATCCATGCCATCACTGCAGAGTATGGCTCACCAGATTTGTCGGAGACCATTGCAGCTATTCTCTTGAGGAGAGCGGCAGCAGCTCGACCAGTACCACCAGTTGCAGCGAAAACCACAGGGATGAAGGTTCCACGCTCGACCTCCTTGACGCGCTGTTCGTATCGCCTCCGTTTTTCACGTTCATGACGCTGGTAGCAAGCGGTGATGGAAGAGGATCGATTTGAGGGAGCAAAGGGGTTGAAAACCCGAATACAGGTCCTCCCTCATTATAACGAGTCCGGTTTGTACATAAACCCCGTTAGTAAATAGATATCTGAAATCCCCTGGCGAAACGTGGTCTATACAACTGTTTACAGGTCCGGTTATAACATAATTCGTTAGTACATAAAATTCGTTATAACGACCCTTTGCCTAGATCCCTGGAGTGCCAAACCCTCAGTATAAGATAATACTGAGTCAGTGACCATGCAGGACCAAGGCCAAAACACGTAGGATAAAGCAGAAAGACGAAACGTAATAATCTATGTATTCGTGAATATGGACGATCCTTTGCATCCAAGGAAGAGTTATGTTGGAGATTTTCCATTATCTTATAACGAGTTGGAGCATCGATAATTTATGTTTTATCGAGGGTAGCCCCAGTAAGTACGAAGTAGTGCCTATTTCACCTTTAGCTGCAAGTCCTGCTACAAGATAAGTCTCGTTATAAGATAACTTTTTCGATGGCCCAGAGATTATCTACTAACGAGGGAGGACCTGTATCGAGAAAGACTCTCTCAAACCGACCTCCCCAAACACCACTCGCCGCAACATCAAGTCGAGCCTGGTCTTCTGTGGAGGCAGTCTTGTAGCGGAGCTGCTCACCAGAGAGCGGTTGTAAGTGTGGCTCGATAGCGACACTATTGGCGACACGTTTCAATAGCGAGGCAGTGATGTCCCGCACCTCATTGTGTCGAAGTGACGGGAAACCTCCGGTGCTGCATGTCAGGGCATGGGCTACTGTGAAGCTGGCTCCACAGACACAGGTTGACAGTAAGCGAGAAGGCCGCCAGCCATAGCGCAGTGCCAAACCATCGCGGAACTCGCTTTTGGAAAGCACAAATCCATGACGGGATAGCGGACGACAAGTAAGCCAGCTGGAGGCGCCAGGCTCACTTGCCAACTGAATTGTGTGCTGCAAAGTGGGCGATGCGTCGGCAGCGAAGCCACGGATGTCGGTCTTCGCTTTCTGGCGGTGATCTGCACGCTGTGACGCTTTGGCTGAGGCACCGCTGGCAAGACCTTCCGTCACACTGAAGTCTTGGTCGAGGATGTTGGTGGTGAGCGCCGCTGTGATCGCGCGGGATGAGGCGTATTGGGTTGTTAGAGATGTTGGATTGACGATGCCCAGGCCACCATCCCGGCAAGGGAAGGCAAACAGCCGTCGCAGCTCCAGACTGACTTCTTCTCCAGTCAGGGCTGGCAGCAGCTTGGTAACAATGGCGTGTTCCAACTGATCAAGACCACTGGACGCATCCGGCAGAACACGACACAAGAATGTCCAGCGGCATGAGAGAGCACGAACAAAAGTAGTGTACGCTGCCTGGGGCTGGGTACGAGCGAAGGATGAGAGTGTCTCAATCTGCTTGCACCATTCATTGGCCTTCTCCTGGATGAACCCGTGGATGTAGTCGGGCGTGCCAATAGCGGAACCCAGGTAGCGGTTGCCGTCAGATGTTACTTGGATGCCAGTACAGTGGTCCCTCTATAATCCGGCACCATTTGTGCCACGGAAATCTGCTGGATTAGGGAGGGTGCTGGATTAACAAATCTTATCTACTATTGTAATGTGCATGAAGAGGACATTTTGGCTACTGAAAATTGTGCACAGCGAACCTCCCTATTAGGGAGGTTCTGCTATGTGAAACGTAGAGAAATCACGTAGAGAGCAGGTGTCTGGGTTAGAGTCTACGGCTTCGCGTGTTTTGGCTCCAGATTTCTACGCGGAGATGGGGTTCTCTACGTTGTGGCACACGCAGAGAAAATGCGTACGGATTTGCTGGGTATCGATCAACTGCATGCAGAAAACTGCCAAATATGGAAGGGGAAATTCCCAGTACACATTCCACGTGACTTCTCTAGGTGAAACGTAGAGCAGAGCAGCATTTCTTTACGTTACGGGAACGCGAAGAAAGTTCGCGTGATTCTTTGCGTCGCGTTCCCAAAACGTAGAGCAGAACCTCCTTTAATAGACACCCTTAGGGCGCGCTCACACTGCGACCATGAGCACGCGTCCATGCGTCAGCAAAACGCAGAAACGTGGGAGTCGTGCTCACACTAGGCCTCGTACACGCGTAGACGTGAAGTTGTCTCACAAACTTTACGAATTGCAGTTCGTATCCAAAAGAGTCCGTGCGTTTCCTAATAAAGTTGTGGCCCGTTTTGGATGTAATTTTTCGCATGTTGCATGTTGGAGGAAGTGCCTCGTGGCTCGTATTATTCTTATTGTATTGAAGTCGACGAAAATAATTCATACAATCAGGTAGGTTTGGACTCTTGAGGGACTGCCGCTGACATCCAAGCGCTTTCGCTTTCCTGACCTCGTGGTCAGAGCAAGTGCCAGTGCAGTGGAAATTCCGGTAGTGGTTTCTTTCGTCTGTTGCCGAGATGAGAACTGTATTTTCCGATGATATGTAACTGAAATGTCTTGAGGTATGGCATTCCATCATCGCAGAAAAGTAGAGAAAGATAATTTCCGAAACCGAAAAGCCAGACCAAGCTGCCATCGTATTGAACGAGTACACTGTAGAAATTGGTCACTGACCCGATCACAACGAAGCAACTACAAAAACAAAATCGACATCGTCCAAAAAGGGTAAAGAATGCATATATGGCGGTGCGTGCGTGCAGGACCACAACTACAAAATTTTAAAAATGTGCAAATGTCGAGGTGACATCGACAACCGCCGATGTTCATGAATCAACACACCGGAATTTGAGAAATTGAACATACTTCAGGCCAGGTTGTACACAAATACGCTTCACGTCTACGATCATGTTGCCGCCAAGTCGTAGCACCCCCTCCGGGGGTCGCGGTCACGATTTGAAACGTGGCCGCGACGTTTTGGTCAAGTTCATGCCGTTGCCATGCAACTTGGCCGCATGGCCGCATGGACGCTGGTTTTGGTCGCAGTGTGAGCGCGCCCTTAGGCCGTCATCACACCACGTTCTCCGACTCCCGTTTACGTCTACGTCTATGGTGAAAAAACCAAAACGGGTGGTCGTGTCATCAGACAGGCACAGTGCTTGACGCGTACACGCAGTCAGGTTTTTGGAGAAATTTGAACCCACGTACATCGAAGTACAGGGTCGCTCGGAAAAAGGCTGGGGTAGATACGCACGTTCATACAAAAAGTCGTATACCCCCCCTCTCCATACCACGTCTACGTCTCCCGTTTCCTCTGCTCCCGTTTTCACCCCGTATACGGATCATCATGACAACCGACCAAAAACTCCGTGGACGTGGACGTGGACGTAGACGTGGACGTAGACGTGGACGTAGACGCAGCGCTTTGTACCATGGTGTGATGACAGCCTTAGCAAAAAACGTTATGTTGTAACGGTATTATCGTAAGGGGGAAAATACCGTGATTTGGGTTCGACCTTTAGCAAGATGCACGCTATTTTTAGTACGCTGTTGCCACGAGAATAGCTTTGATTTCGCGCGGTACAACCATTTTTGTCACCATATACGCGATACAAGGTGAAATGCGTACGGACTATGCAATATTTGGCCAAAACACGTACCGTTGGTCACAACGATAAATCAGCCCCCATAACGTTTATACGCTGCAGCTTCAACGCTATTTGGGTGATCAAGGTACGAGTACCGTAAAAAATAGCGTTACCGTTGTTTGCTAAGGGTGTCAAATATCGCACTCTATCCGTGTTTTTTATTTTCCAGAGTCAGTGGACTTTGAACTTTTTGAGCTATTTCTTGAGAATTGTTAGTTTCTAGTCATTGCAAGGTGGGCCTTACAAGGCCCTTTTCGTTCGAAATCAGACCTGACACGCCGTCCATCGCCGGATAAGGCAAACTTCTATCCTCAGTTTCGAACGTTTTCTCGCGGGGTGCTTCTGTCCCATGCAGCATCACGTCTTCTCCGACTGTCGAAATTTGAATTTTTCTTTACGCAGGACTTCAGCTTAGTGCCGTCAAGTATTCCAGGCACGCGTAGTAACACCCACTACAACATGCAGAAGAACAAGCCTTAGGGGCCGTTTACATGAGAAAAATAAGCCCGGGCTTATTCAACCCTAGGCTTACGATAAGCCCGCCTTGATCTGTCACCCAGTCATTTTAGAGCGCGCGTTTACATGGTCAGGCGGGCTTATTCAGCTCGCCCCGAGCTGAACTAGCCCTATCCTTGACCCCCGAGCTTATCCAACCCCCAGGGCTTATTTTGTCATGTAAACGGTCAAGAAGGGCTTATAAGCGAGTTTTTCCGTATTTTTCGATTTTGCCTCGTGAACCTGAGAGAATGTGGCCGTGGACAGTACAGTGCAGTGCGTCTCTTTTATTTATTTCTTGGTATGTTTTCTTCTAGTTTTTGTCCAGTGGAAGGTCCTAGCCCATCCTTCACCTTCTCGAAAAATAAGTGACAATTGGAAAGGCAGTAGAAACCTGAGCCGGCATTTCTTGATCCAAATTTCATCAGACACGAACATTTACCACTGCGTTCATGTGCGATTTGAAAAATAAAATGCGCGCAGAACTCGCAGTCACTCACCTGAACTCAGCCCCATACAACCGTCATGTAAACGGTTGAAAAATAAGCCCGAGGCGAATAAGCCCGGGCTTATTTTCCTCATGTAAACGGCCCCTTAGGCCGCAACCACACTACGTAAAAATCACAGTACAAATTTTCATGCATATCTCACTGCAAGTCGGTACGCAACCACACTACACTTTTCGGTCTGCATAGATGACGTTTTCACGCGACCAGCACGTGACGTTGTCGTACCAAAGCGTGTGCCATGCGCTGGAAAAGACCGGGAAATTCAAAAACCCTGCTGTTGCTGATGCTATGTACGATGACCCGGTACAAAAGCAAAGTTGTACACAGGAGAAGGAGCGCGAAAACGACGAAAACGACAAACGTGGCTTTCTACAGGGGTGCGCCAGTTGCTGAAAACCTACAAAGCGCATTTTGCATTTCGCACGCGTCGGCATGACGATTTCTACTGTAATGCCGTTTGTACGTGATTTTGTACCTAGTGTGGTTGCAGCCTTAGTCTTTTAGTATGTGGTCTCTCGCCGGTGTCCAAGACCAAATAACACCACAACGACCAATTTTCTAACCTCTGTTTTTCTCGTTATTTACATGTATATGGAGGACAGCTGGAAACATGTAGCACTCACAATGAACACATCAGGACGGTGTAATAATGCCACTCAGCTACACCCTGGGCGTGTATGCATTCCTGTCTGCGAGTTATGCCAAGCAACTCGTCTGGACACCAGTGCACACATCCAACAAATGCAGAATATTGGAATATTTTGGTAAAATAGTGAACGGCGAAAGACAAAAACCCAAATTGCAGCCACCTACAGACTAATATCCACATACGCTGGCTGTGTAAAGGAGTGTCAATGAGAATCTTCATTGCGTTACTACAGAAGTGTATGAAACGGAACGTAGCGGACAAGCTCAAAAGTGCACGCCGAGCCAATATAGGCGGCATTGCAGCACATGTAAGACAGTTATGGACAAACAGGCACAGATGAAGTGTTCCCACTATGAAACGGTCTCAGCAGTTCCAAGAAGTAAGAACATGACAATAGCATAGAATGATGTCTTTTGCAAGAAGTGCTATGAGGCACAGCTAGAATAGATAATACCGTAAAGTCCGGAGCACTGTTAGGCAGTGCCGGATCTGGCGGAGGATCCGCAGCTTCATAGCCGTGCGTCGGACGATAGAGGTGACTTGCGGTGACCAGCGAAGATTTTCGTCCAGAGTGACTCCGAGGTAGCGAGCCATACTGGTCTGGGCAAGAGGCGTGCCAGTGCAAGTAATGTGGAGGTCGAGGTGTGCCTGCCGTCCAGCTTTGATTGCAAGCACTTGCGTCTTTCCGGTGTTGAGGATAAGCCCTTTGGCACCGAGTAGCCATTGTCAGTATCTTCCTGCAAAGAAATAACTTCTGTCGAGATTTCCTTTCATTCAATAAATGTATCGTCTTTGTGGTAGTTCGTTCTCCATGTGGTACGAGTAATGTCGCAGAAATTTGTGCAGTGCCACGATGTCGCCGTCGCGCTGTCAGGAATAATAATTGTTCTGATGAAGCGTCAGTCAACGGCTTGACTGGTCCCAATATTGCAGTTGCAAGTCGAACAGGGTATGTCACAGAAGCTACACCTACAATGTCGCTGCTAACTGTTACTTGTTGAAAACTCCGAAGTGCCCAAGAAAACATTTGCCTTTGGGCGCTGTGTGATCTCGAAATGATGGCTTGAAACACCGTCAGAAGTGTATTTGGTTCCTTCAATACTCTGTTGTTCGCTACCTTGTTATTCGGAAGAAAACCCGTTCGGATTTGCGAAATAAAACAACCATCATTATATAATCACAACGAGCTAGCTAGCTCGTGGCTATAGCGCAGCTAGTGCACAAAGAGATTTTGAAACCAGGAAAGTGGACATAGTTTACCGTAGCAAAGTGCTCTTCCCGCTACGGTGTGAGATGCACTTTCGTACAGTAGGGGTGACAGTGCATGGGGTCAGTGTGTACAGGCCAGCAGATCTTGCAAAAATGGGGTGGGCGTTTGCTCCGGACTTTACGGTAGTTGACAGCAGTGCAAGCATTCACAACAAAGCTATTACAGCTGGTCGCTTGTCACACTCAGATCTGCGATAATCCTCTGGCTGAGCTAACAGCAGTACTGGGAGAACACATGGATGTTTGCACACTAGTACAAAGAAGCGAGTCATTCCCCTTCTGCGGAAAGGCTGCAATACCCAAGGTCCTCTTCGTGCTGTTCTCACACAATGCCAAGACGCGTTAATACCCAAGGTCCTCTTCGTGCTGTTCTCACACAATGCCAAGACGCGTTGGAGCACGATCTACCTGAGAAGACACAGATCGCACAAGATAAGGCAGCATTTTAAGTTTTTAACGACAGTAGGAATAATGCATGAAACACAGAAGGTAATTCAATGGAAAAAGTGCTCCGCTCTTTATATACTATACTTTTCCAATGTTATACAGATAATGCACTGAACTCCATGGAAGTGGATTTGGTTGTCCCTATTAGTATAATTGCAGTGGGTGCTGCTTCACTTGAACCATATTTTGGTTCCAGTGAAGCAGCACTCACAGAAAATTTTCTCAATCGCATCGTCGCGCATCGCGTCGCAGAAGTGATATCATACATCGCGCTTTAGAATGTTGGCATGGCTGGGCATCACTGCCGGTAGTTCTGCCAAGAGGACGTAACCCGGATTATTAACCCCTGGTGGATCGGTTACACACAGAAACGCAGCAGGTTCGAGGCAGTGTCTGCATGTGATACACCATGCACACAAACCTTCATGAGGCTCTTATGAGAAAAAGCGCGCTTTCAATCTGAAAACCACAGCAGATCGTTGCGCACTGCCCCAGCCGGTACCCCAGTTTGTCGCTACGTAATGTGGGCAGCAAGCCCCTTCAGACCCCTCGTGCAAAGTTGCATGCTCTTGGGGCTATGGACTCTTGGTTCAGCCACCAAAATATGAATGCAGTGGAGCTGCGTCAGCGGCGTACATGAAACGAGACAGCATTTGGTTCGTTTTAATCGATAATATCGACAGAGAATATATTATTACAATGACACCAAGAGAAGCTTTGATGGCAATTAAGGCCAGCATGTCCATCCGCAGCCATGCAGCAGCAGCAACGAGGGTACATCTCAAGAGAATACAACTACAAGTCCATACCCACTAAAATGTCATGCAAATTTTACAATATACAGAGTGTCAAGACATACAAATTTCGCACTTTCGGATTCCTCAACAGTACCATCCTAAGCACAGGCACACTAAACGGGAAGAGAACACATTTATTTATGATATCGTATTCCTTTGGATGCTTCTTTCTTCTTGTTGTGCTATTTTCAACAAGGCAACACTTGTGCTTGTAAAAATACTAAAAAGCAATTTTGAGATTCCACTTAGTGCCATCGGTTATTCCAGGCAGGAATGCTCAAACCATTATCATCTCACTACACAACAATATGTACTTACTAAGATCCGCCATGAGAGCTTGGTGTCCGCAGCTCTTGGAAAGCTCAGCTCGTCTACTTCTCGATGCCAGTCGGCGAAACCAGCAAATCGTGGAGAGCAGTTTCTTCCATAAATAAAGCCCAAGATGGCGTTTGCGATTCAAATTTTCTACTCGGCGTCAAAGCACAACATTGAACTCATCATCTTCCATTGCTGCAAAGGCAAAGGAGCGAAGACAGGCCGCGAGAAAGGCCAAAACAATTGCCAAATTTCTCCCCCAACTGCCATTGTCGTCATCATCTTCACCAACACAGTTTTGTGCAGACTTTTTCCCGCGGGATCGGACCCAGGAAAATGAAAACGGCCTACTGACTCAGTGGCCTGCGCACGGACATGTACATGGTGAGTCACGGACTTGACGTCACGCTGCACGTGCCGGTCATTTCCTTGCAGGCGCGGGAATCCCGGGATAACAAAAATGTGCGTATTTCTTCCCTTTTTGAAAATGCTAAAATAATTGCTGCTTGCTGTGCATGTGAGAATATTCCGAATGCAGATGAGTAGTCGTTTGCGAGCAATTGGATCAAAGAATAATTGTTAGTTCCTTCCCCCAGCGTCTTCATTGTACACAAGGAAAGGCGATAGAGTTTTTCGATGTTGCGGATCAAACCCAAGTTCCACGAGGTATGGCGAGGTATTGGAGCGAAGCTCCACGTCATGGAATTCATCAAGGGTGGCCTTCATTTGCCATTTGGAACAGAAGGTCCACCAGCGCCGTTCGAGATTCACAACATCGTCGATCCACAGTATGAGGACATGGTGCAGGAGCGCATTGAATTCATGATACGAACTCACAGAATAATACCTGCACGAGATCGCAGTAAACTGCTCGGCGTATCCCGTTTCGCTCGATCGCATTTGCCCAGAGGACAGTTGGTACTCAATTTGAGAGAGCTGAATAAGCACTTGGCGCGGGTACCGAATCTTATGTCTCGCACTTTACCCGTGGGCAAGGATGGATTTCTGAAACAACACCTGCAGCCCAACGACTGGATGGCAAAGATGGACCTGCGACATGGCTACTCACATTTTGAAGTTCACCCAGATTCGCAGGCGTACCTTGGACTGACTTGGGCGGGAAAATACTATACGCACGTGTCGCTGCCATATGGACTTTCCTGGAGCACGTACATGTTCAACGAAACGATGGACACAGTGCTGATGCATATTAAGCAGACCATTACGGATAAAGTGTACGCCTACGCAGATGATTGGCTCGTGTACGGCTCGAGTTATGACGAGGTTTCTACCAACTTCTTCAAGATCCAGCAGCTGTTTGACAGTCTGGGCCTGTCAGTGAACCTGGCCAAGTGCTCGGCAGAGCCAACTCAGCGCATGGAGTTTGTCGGCGTTAACTTGAGCACCAGCGGCAAGGAAGTCTCTACGCAGCCGCTGCGCACGAAGCTCGTGTCGGTGCTGGAGAACCTTCAGAACACAATGGCGATGGACGAGGTGCCGGTGCGTGTGTTGGCCGTGCTACAGGGCCAGATGCGTTCGCTGGTCAAGTTTGGCGCGCCGGAAGCCCTGCTTGAGTTCCCCGTCATGCTCGCCGCGCTGCGACAGAAGAGTCACTGGGGCGACAGCGCGCCGATTACGCGCGAGCTCTACGCCGAGTTTGAAGAGCTCAGCTTCCTGCTGGAGACGCTGATCGCCAATAGTGTGCTGTGATGAGGCAGTGGTTACGGTTCTACTCTCGTGCTGGCACGAGTCCCGTACCGCCCGCCACTCACCACTTTGACTGCGCTGCAGTGCGCCGAGTGACTGCTCTATTGCTCGGTTTGTGTTAGATCCACCGTTGATCCACCGTTGATCGGATGCTGGCGTTGGCCGGGGGTGGTTTTAACTCGCTGAATCGCCGCGGCAACCATCGCTGCGGCAACCATCGCCGCCTGACCTATATACGCATGTAGACTAGTTCCCCGAGCGACGAATGACAGTATGCACGTATCTTCCCGACGTTTATTTTCGTATACGGTGATGCAGAGTGCGTACTTTGGTGCTGTCGTACGCGATCCATTGTAAGTGACTAATCCAGAACCGGTTCGTGTTTGATGTGGTTGAGCTACAATGGATTAGACTATTGCTGAAGTAAGTTTGACTCTTATCCATCCCTTCCCCCTTCCGACCACGGGAATAGATTTGACGAGTTTGATGTCACCTTTTTTTTCCGGAGGGGTTCTCCCGACTGCCAATGCTGTGATGGGCGTAGACTGTCGTGATATCGGGCTCTTTGTGTCCGTGCGTGCATGCGCGCACGTGTTAGTGTTGGTGTGTGTGGTGGTGGTGTGTGTGTGTGTGTGTGTGTGCACGTGTGGCGCACGTGTGCATACCTATGCGTATACGTGTATGCCATTTTTCTGCAAACTTTTTACTTGTCCCCAGTCGTTTAGCGCTTGAGTATTGTACATATTAGAGACGTTTGTAAGATCGAGTGCACTGAATATTGATGTTGATCACTGATGAGCGGCTTCACTTCTTAGATACTCGTTCCCTTTGTCAACTTTCATGCTTACTATGCCCGTGCCGTGTAGTACCTTTTTTTCTTTTAAAGATTTTATGCAGTCTGCATTAGCTTTGCAGTGACATTTAACGCTCCAAAAATCCCCACTCTGTGGACAGCCACTTCAGTGACTGTTACTATGGGTGGGTGTGCGCACTCACGCGCGCTCGTGCGGGTGTGTGTGTGTGTGTGCGAGCGCACGTGTCTATGCATGTGTGTGCATGTGTGTGGGTGTCTGTGTGCATGTGTATGTGTGTGCATGTGCGTGCGTGTCTGTGCATGCGTGTGTGGGTGGGTGTACATGTGTGTGTGTGTGTGTGTGCGCGTGTGCACGTGTGTCTGTGCATGCGTGTCTGTGCGCGCGTGTCTGTGCACGTGTGTGCATTATCTAGTGCCAGCTACTATCCTTAGTTCTTTCTGTTCAGCTCACCGCTGTTTCCCAATTATTCGGCTGCATCTCTTTTTCAACATTCCTCGTTTATTGTTCGTTAATCTTGTCCGCACTGTCCTGGTGCTTGAGGTTTTTGTTTCTCTAAATCCACATGATCTTCACTGGACTATGGCCTTGAGCATGTGTTTTATCCAGGGTCAAGCTGGCTTTGTGCTCTGTTGATTTTGTTGGTGTCGCGTGCACGCGCACGCTCGTGTGTGTCTCCCTCCTCCCGCAATGGGACCACGTAACCTTTACGGCAGTGGGTCAACAGGACAGGACAGGTGTGTGTGTTATGTGTGTCTGTGCGCATGTACACGTGTGTGTGTGTGTGTGTGTGTGTGTGTGTGTGTGTGCAGGCGCGTGCCCCGTATGGGTTCCTGGGTGCCCGGAATACCCCTTTTTCACTCAAAATGCAGGGTTTTGCTTCATAGTTTGAAAATTTTCCCATGGGAGGCCCCCCGGAACCCCCTTTGAAGGGCACCGGCGCACACGCCTGGTGTGTGTGTGTGTGTACTTCGAAGTATATGCGGGTGTGTGTTCCAGTATAACTTTCATCGCACCCAGCGATGGGCGTCTAAAGTAACTTACTTTGTCAGTCTGCATGTCTGCTTGTTGGAAGTTGTTCGCTGTTTCTTTCGCTGTTTTTTTTTCTCTCACACACACCGTCACAGTCATACTAATGCTGTGTGGTGACCCCGTATAATAACGCGTAAATTAGGGCGGCGACGGAATAGGGGTTTGGTCGGGTAACGGGTCCTGTTGTTTTTACCCGGGTACCACGGGTACCCTCTCCGGTATTATTTGACATAGCTTGTACTGTGAGTGTGCACTTGCGCTACATAGAAAATGTACAGTAGCTTGTAGCCATGCTGTTTATGTGCACTGTTGCAAAAACACTGTACTCCAACTACCCGATCGGGTTCTCGGGAGCAAATCGCTACCCTACTACCCGCTCCAATTACGGGTAGCACGGGTACCGAACTACTCGTTGACACCCCTAGCGTAAATGGCATCATGCAAGGGCGGCCAGGAGGAATCACTTCCCAAAATTCCATCTTGATCTCTCCCTGCTGTTGTCTACAGATGACCAGGTTTGCCACTGAAGATATCCGTGTGTGTGTGTGTGTGTGTGTGTGTGTGGTGTGTGTTTGTGTGTGTGAGAAAGAGAGAGAGAGAGTGTGTGTGTGTGTGTGTGTGCATGTGCATGTGTGTGTGTGTGTGTGTGTGTGTGTGTGTGTGTGCTTGCATGCGTGCGTACATGCATGCAGTCATCTGTGTGTTGTGCGCATGGGCACGTGTATGGAGTACAGTTCCAGCGAATCACAGCTAGAAACTGAACTGTCGCAAGGGCTACACTGTTCTTCAAGTATTATTAGAACGAAGTCTGTCTCGTTGTCCAGGAAACGACCAATCAGCGATATTCCCGCCAAGGGCCTTAATATTAAATAATAATAATAATAATATTCGCGGGATCCCCGTCGGCATCGCTTGAATGTTCAGAAACACACAAACTAGCCTTCGCATCCGCAGGCCACCACTATGCCTGTTAACCTAAGTGGCGGGTGCAGACCTCACAACTGAGTCAGGGGAGAGGAGGTTAGTCTCTCAACCAATCGGACGTGTAACGGCCCATAACCCTGTAAACTGCATCCAGAGAGGTTCCGGGGTACGATTTTCCGTGCCAAAATCCATATGGGCGCTACGGATTTTTCCAGGTGTGCTCCATACGATTTTTCGGCACGGAGAATTCGGGACTGGCTTTCATACGAACCATGTTTCGTATGGAGATTTTGCGTCATCGGGTGCAGAAAGATTTTTCGTGTACAAATTTGGTACGAGAAACATCGATTTTCCGCGGGAAGTTTTGATTTCGGTACAATTTTTCAAAATAAAAGGCATAACGCGGGAATGTGACGTGTCTGCAATTGTAACCTAGGCAATGACGGCAAACACATAAGTTCCGTACTCCGAAACATTTCACTGCTCGAAATCAATGTATAAAAAATCCGTAGCGCCTCGACGGATTTTGGCACGAAAAATCGTACTCCGGAACCTCTCTATTCTCACTCCGAGCTGTGAGTACCCAGTTGACCGTGGGTGTCGGCGCAGTTCAACACGCATAAAAAGTCTTTTTAGGCTGTGTTTACATGGAGAAATTTCAGCCCGGGTTGAAAGTCTGTACGATAGACAAAATAGGTGAGCGTTTACATGAAGACAGTTGACCCGGGTCAAATACTGATATGCCGCCAAAAGTCCACTTCTAGAGTCCTGCATGGTCACGTGAATCCGTTCGCTCGAAAATCGCATGTGCAGTGCTGTTCAAACCTGGCGCGAGATACGCACAGAAGTACGTTTGTACGATTTTCT